TCTTATAAGGACACCAAACCTACAGGTTAAGGCCCCGCCCTTATACCTCACTTAACCATTATTATCTCCTGATAGGCCACATTTCCAAATACAGTCCCTCTGGAGGCTAGGGCTTCAACAAAAGAATTTTAGGGGGACACAATTCAGTCCATACCAATGCTTCATAAATGCTTGTGAGATCTGTCAGCTGATCAATGGCAAAGTCTTTGAATGAATGAATGCATTGTAAGATAAATTTTAGCCAAAATAAGCAGGCAAAGAGAAACAACAAAGGGCCAGGTAGTTTATTTGAATGCCGCTCCCGGGTGATGTTCCGCGGTCTGGGTATTACAGGCCGGGGAAGTCACACCCGGTCAGGGAGGTGGGGGCTTATAAGGGATTAGGAGGGGGAGGAGTGGGCAAGCTATCCTAGGGGGCGTGGAGAGGTATGATTGGCTAAAGGTGACATAATAGACAACTAGAAACTTTTTTTCCTTCCAAGAGGGAGGAGGCTGACATCCAGGTCTTAGTTGGCACATGAGAAGGATGGAATTCCGGAAGAGCTGTCCCCTTTCCATATAAGGCACGGACCTTGGGGTCTGGTCTGTTCTCCTCCTATGGCATCTCTCTGTTCTGTTTGCATGTCCTTGTTTTTCCTTCCTCCAGCCTAACATGCATGACTTAATGATTCTTCATGGTCAGTTGGAAGGAGGGGAGAAGAGACTTAAACAGAGCAAGACCCTCTGCTGTGGCCCTTCAGAGCACTCCAAATCCAAAAGGATCCTGTAATTTCAACTGGCAGGTCTCAACATTCTCTCCTGTCTCAGTTGCTGGAGGCCAAAAGGTGTAAGGTATTAATGAAGCCACAGGTATAGGTATCATCCCATTCAGTTAGCTTCGTTCTGAGAAAGGCTATTCCATAGCCACGGCCTGCAAGTGTTTGGCCTCAGGAGCTAGACATGGACAGTTTAGAATAACCCAGACACAAACAAATGCAAGAGAACGCACATGAACTCATCTAGTATTCCAGCGGTGGATTGCCACTAACATTAAACAACAAACAAAACACATATGCCAGACTGAGTCAGAATATTTTTCAGTGTAATGGAAGTCTCAACTCTAAAAATTAAAGTGAAAGATTTGGGTTCATTTCAGTCTCATAGCCTTTTAAAGCTAATCTTTAAATTATAGGATATGTTGCTTAGAGAAAATTTTAAGAAAAAAAAAACATAATAAGAAATGAATTCACCCATAAAATTGCTTGACATTTTAATGGGTTTGTTTCCAAGTTTTTCTTTTACATGGCTCAGTTGGGTATCTAGAGGTTTTCAATAGTTATATGAGCATTTCTCCGCATTTACCTGTGTGTTTATAAGATAATTTTAAATGTCTATGTAACGCCATCCAGAGCATGCATACCCATATGTATCATGTGGGTGGTTATCTGATGTAGTTCACTTGCTTTTTAATCTGGAAAAAGTATCCTTTTGTTACAAGTTACACACACTGCATAGTAGAGAATATGATTTGCTTTACTTCAAGTTTACATACAATACTGGATGGACATTTCTTGAACCAATATTGGTATATTCAAAAAAACATGTAATTCATCATGTCTGCTGTTCTTCAGATGGCAAATCAACTTGTTCTTTAGTATAAATATTAGATAATTCACACTTGGTTGGTTGAAAAATCAATTTCTCCTCTTCCCTTTTCAGTCAGTGGGAATTTGGTGATGAGACAAATAACAACATATGCCCATAGTCCTGTCTCCCCTAAGGCTCTTTGTTCATCATCTATAACACGTCGAGTTTCCTCACCACGGACTGTGCCTGCACGGTGTTGGTCAGCTAGGTGCAAGGCTTTCTCATAGCTTGTTATACTGTTAATCATTTCATTCCTTACACGCAGACCAATTGAGTGCAAATTTTCTAACAGATCGCGTTTTCGACTTATTATTGGCTTCAATTTTACAGTCCCTCTGGAGAAAAATAAATATTGGTAGGAAATTGACCAGAATTTCTCATGAGGGTGATGTCTTTTTCTTGCTTCACTGGTGCCTCTGTTACATTTATGCTGGCCCTGGATTGTGACAGAGTTGATGTCTGTTAGATGGAAATTTAGGGGATAGAAGGTGAGAACATGTTAAGCCAGGGAAAGCATAAAGGAACTAATTTTTTATTGAATGCTTATTATGATGGACTAAATATTGGATTACATCATTTATATGTTTTGTTATATTAAATCATAATCATACATGGCAGAATTATATTTTTAAATTAAGGAAATGGTCAGGGCAAGGGATGGAAATAATATTTGTTGCGTACAAACCATATGCTAGGTTCTGTGCAAGGTACAGTGCATAGATTATAAGGTGGTGCTTCTTAGAACATTTAACAAATGACAGAATAGGGATCTAACAGGTTTTTATGCCTCCCAAACCTATGTACCATTTCAGTTTACCATGCTGCCTGCCAGCTATGCCCAACTAATGCAGACTTAAGGATTTTAAGAAGCAAGAGCTAGGTACCTATCCTAAGGCAACTAAAACTTAAAGACACCTTTGAGTATAAAAACACGGCTGGGCAACTAAGAAAATACAGTATGAATTCTTGCTTTCTATATGTACTTTTTCTTAATGAATTTTTACCTGTCAATCCCTTTAAAACCTGTCTTAGGCTTTTGAGAAACACTTTCTTTTTCCTTTAGCCTCACCTAGATTTTCAAACCTCAGCAGCTTCTCAGTCCCTCTTGCTCACTTCTCATTACAAACTGCCTCCTCCCTCCTGACATATTGGCCTCAGTGGTTACCTGGGGATTAAGCCCGCAGCTGTGGGCACCCACATCAGTAGATGTTTCCCTGCACAGTGTCCTAGACTCTTCTCTCAGTGAGAGTCATGAAATTTCTCTTTTTTTAAATAGAGGTGTGATTGACAAATAAAATTAGATATATTTAAAATATACAATGTGATGATTGTATAAAGTATACAATTTGTGAATTGACTGCAGCAGTCAAGTTAATTAATACAGTTTCATCACACATAGTCTTACCTTTCCTGTTTTTGGTGGGAACATTTAAGATTTACTCCCTTAGCCAATTTCAAGTATACAACACAGTACTATTAACTATAGTGACCATGCTGTACATAAGATCCTCTGAACCTATTCATCTTATAATGAAAAGTTTGTACCCTTTGACCAGTATCTTTCCATTTCCCCTACTTCCCAGCCCCATGGCAACCACCATTCTACTCTGTTTCTATGAATTTGGCTTTTTTTTTTTATCATATTCCACATATAAATGATACCATTTACTTAGCATAATGCCCTACAGGTTTATCCATGATGCTGCAAATGGCAGGATTTCCTTCATTTTTTATGGCTGAATAATATTCCATTGTTTGTATGTACCACATTTTCTTTATCCATGCATCCATCGATGGACACTTAGATTGTTTCTGTATCTTGGCTATTGTGAATAATACTGCTGTGAACATGGGGGTGCAGTTATCTCTTCAAGATCCTGATTTTGCTTCCTTCAGACATATTCCTGTAAGTGGGAATGCTGGATCACGTGGCAGTCCTGATGTTAATTTTTTTAGGAACCTCCATACTACTTTCCATAGTGGTGGTACCAATTTACATGCCACCAACAATGTGTGAGGGTTCCCATTTCTCCACATTCTTGCCAACATTTATTACCTTTGGAAACTTCTTTACCTTCAAAGAATTTGCTACCAAAAAGGTTTTAACAAATCCTTTCTTCAAGTCAGCATTGCAAACCACCCCTCCTACCTAATTCCAACTTTGTGAATAAAAAAAAGCTCCTCAGGCCTTCAGAAATCCAACAGGCTGCACTGTTTATTTCACTGATATTTTCAGTTTGCAATACTTAAGCATACAAAGAGAAAATTAGCTTTGGGATTTCCTTTATGCACGTTTTAATCTAGAATTCACAAGCCCTTTGCCTAAGAAAATGACTCTCCCGTCCACCAAGTGAATAGACACCTGGAATTCCTCTGGCAAATGGTTAAGTAATTCTTTCTGTATTAAAAGGTAAGGCAGAAAGTGCAAACACCTTGGAAAGAAGTAATATTTGCAAAGTTATATTCACGCTATGCTGCCAGTTACTGATACTAGTGTCTCCCAAAAGGAGGCTGAGATATGGAGAAGTAGGAGCGAGCAAGAGAGATTGAGTGCTAACAGGGACAAGTGGAAAGTGGGATCTGGTGCCTGCTCAGAAGGCAGGACTCGGAGACCTTAACTCCTCACAGCTCAAGTCTGTCCTTTCAGAAAGTACTTACTATGGGAGTCATGTTTTATGCTGAGCATAAGTTCTAAAGTCAGTGTGAAAACCATGTGCAGTAAAAATCACTCCTGAAAATTCCATAAATCCATTTCTCAAGAAATCCGGTATCGCCAGGTCTTCCTCAAGCTATAACACAGACACACAGCTTGCTACTTCTTCATTTGAGTCCCATGGTTGTTCGCTTGCGTTTGGAGGCTATGGGCATGAAAAATGCATACCTGGCAGTACATTCACTGCAGCCAGAAGCTCCAAACCACAAAACACAGGAGGAACTAAGTTTAAATCAGGAAACAATAGATTTCCTTTCCCATCTCACACTCACACTGGGACATATATATATACCCAGGAGTGGAATGGTGGGGGGAATTTTACACACTATTGAAATTGTTCTGTCTTCTGTACTTAATTCTCTTTCTTTTTGAGTGAGTGAGTATAGTTGAATTTGTCTAACTATAGTTAAAGTCCTATTATTCAACTGCTCTGCATATTTAACCAAATACACAGTTCTTGGGCACTTTGTAAATCTCAGTCTCCCCCCGGAGAGGAGATGGCAGGAAGCTATGGCAAACGCTAGGGTACCTGGACCCTTTGGTTCCAGGTCAGAAAAATTAAGAGAAAATCACCAATTTGGGGGCTTTTACCAAGTGACACATCAAGTGAATGAAGTGGTTTCCATTTTGATGATTTTTTTTCTCTCTTTCTTTCTCAACAGGCTGGTCCATTCAGGTCCAGGGAAAGGGTCACCCCAGGCTGGTATGGATCTATCTTTTGCAACACGAACTGGTACCAGGCAGGGGATTGAAACGCATCTCTTCAGGGCGGAGATCAGCAGGGACCTCTCCCATTGGACGAGGAGCATAGTACAGGCGTGCCACAACTTGGCTGAACTCATCACCGAAATCAGCACAGGTGAGCCCGCGGGCTCGGGGCTGCCGATGCCATGCTCTTACAGGAAGATTGCA